CCCGAGGCCCCTGGGGGGAACCACCCCCTGCCAGGAGCGCCGTTCCGTGGCTGTCGTTCCGTGGCTGTCACTGCCGCTGCTGCCTTCCGCCTGAGTCCACACACCCTGGAGATAGGCCACCGACCTACACCAGCCAGTTCCAGAATGTTGGAAATTCTACACAAAAAGGACCCAGTTTCTTTGACAAAAGATGACGTGACAAAAGGGAGGGGGTTGCTGAAAGCAGACGTGACAGACTGGCGGGCCAGGCAGTGCGGCTCTGGGCCAGGTCACCCCTAAGGGTCAGGGTGGGGACCAGCAGGGGCTGTGGTGGTTGAGGCTCCGGGCTCCACGTGGCCGAGTGCGTTTCCAGTCCCGGACCTGGCAGCGTAATGTTCTCACTTTCCCCCTCTCTCTATCTCTGTCTGTCTCTGGTGCGTGCACATGCCCTATAGCAAATTGTAAAATAAATAAATAAAATGAAATAAATCATTGTTTTTAAAGTGCCAGTGTCATGTTGTTGGCCATGCTGTTACGACTGTGCTCACACAGCCCCCATGTGGTGGAGCGGTGCACTGCACTACTTGTGGGTAAAGTGTCTGGGCCAGGAAGTGGCGTGGTGGTTGGGGCGCGGGACCCCCCACGTGGCCAACTATGGTTCGAATCCAGACCTGTGCTCACTTTCTTGCTTCCCTTTACTCTCTCTCTCTGGTCTGTTCAAATTATACAAGATAATAATTATAATAATAATTCTTTTACAAATTTTTAAAAATTACATGTCTGGAATTTGCCTGAAAATACTCAGGAAAAAAGTGAGGTAGACAAGACAAAGTAGTAAAATATTGAAACTGGGCGATGCATCCATAGGTACTCAGACTCCTCTGCTTCCACGTGTGTTCTGAGTATTTCCATACAAGGTGTGTGCGTGTGCGTGTGTGTGCATGCGCGTGCGCGTGTGAACTCTTTATGCCATAGGGTGCATACCCTTGCAGGAGGGGGAGTGAGAAGCCGCCCCCAGAGTGGATGGCCTGTTTCAGTCCCCTCTCCTCCACTCTCCCTCAGGGTTAGGGCGTACATGCACCCATACCCCACTCGAACTGCAGTCAGCCAGGTGGGAGTCCAGCCCCTTCCCCACCACTCCACCTGCTAGTTCTGACAGTAAGTTTCTTTTTAAGGGAGAGTATGCCTAATTATCAGAAAATTTTGAAAAAGAAACAAAACTTAATGTGAAATTTATTCTATCAGTCATTAAAAAGTAGCCTGCTGGGGGCCAGCAGGTGGTGTGCTGTCAAGGTGCTGGACTCCCACGTGGTGGACCGCAGTTCAAGTCCTGGACCCGGCAGCCTGCTTTATCACTTTCCGTCTCTCTCTCTCCCTCTGGTGAGCACATGTGCCCTATAGCAAATTAAAAGATAATAATTATGATAAATAAAATAAAATGTTTCAACAAATTAAATGTCCTGCTGGGACCAGCAGGTGGCATGGTGATTACGGTGCTGGGTTCCCACACGGCTGACTGCGGTTCGAGCCCTGGACCCAGTGGCACGTGGGCCATGGGTAGACAGACTGGTACAGGATTCCTCGTGAGGTCCAGCCAGTGGCGTGGAGGCCAACCAGTTCAAATCCCAACCCAGCTGCTTACAGGTCATGCAGGCACATGTGCATATGTGCCCAAAGTCCTGAGAGAATGAGGGGAAAGGGACTGTGGCATGGCCATCTTCTCAGAGGGCGGTTTCCTGTCTCACTTTCTCTCCCCACTTCTCTGTCTCTCTCTGGTAAGTGCACACACCCTATGTGAAAAAATAAAAGTTAAAAAAGTTCCTCTAGAACGCAAACCTGAGAGCAGCAGAGAACACCCAGCGGGTGTATGTGCGAGGGTTCGATCCCCTGGTAGTGGCGCAGATGTGGAGGCCGGAGTGACATGTGACCCTGGGTGTCTGTGAGAAGAGCACTGTCCTGTATGAAGAGAAGGAGCCCTGCATCTGGGCTGGGACAACTGGGAAAAGCTCCGTGTTCCCTCCATTCTCAGAACATTCTGCACGAATCAAAGAAAGTTTACGTAGGCGGGGCAGCAGGTGGCATGGTCGGTAAGGCGCTGGACTCCCACATGGCCGGCCACAGTTCGAGTGCTGGACCTGGCAGCTTGCTTTCTCACCCTTTCTCTCTGTCAATCTCTGGTCAGATAACAAAGTAACAACAACAATAACGACAACAAATGGAATTAAATAGACAAAAATGCGTATTTTTAAAGTTTACATAGGAAATAAAACTAGGGGCCAGCAAGTGGCATAATGGTTCAGATGCTGGGCTTCCAAATGGCCCACTGTGGTTCAAGCCCTGGATCTGGTGGCTTGGAAGTCACACCAGGTATGTGTGCATGTGTGCCTTCAACCCCAGGAGAATGGAGAAGGGACTGTGGTGTGGTCACCGCCCCGGGCGGTGACTTCTCACTCTTTCTCTCATGTCTCTCTCCAGTGAGCACATACACCTTATGGCAAAAACCTTTTTTTAAAAAAGCACTAAATAAAAATGGACAAGTGTATGTCCGTGTCAGGGAACGGAAACCCGCCAGCACCGGCACGGACGTGAAGACGCTCACCCTCAGCCCAGCCGCACGTCTAGTGAGCTCCCTGGCGGGGAGTCCGCACAGGCGTGACGTGCCTGAGTGCAGCTGTGCTCCTGGAGCACGCCCCCTGGAGGGACCAGGTGCTGGGTGGGAGCAGGGCCCTGGCCGTACAGCCCAGCTCAGCACAGCCCAGCTCGGCGCTGGGCAGGAGGCTTCTGCAACAGCAGGACCATGCCACACGTGGTGCCAAATCACCTGCTGTCTTTTTTTTTTGAGAGGTTTTCGCTATAGGGCGCGTGCGCTCGCCAGACAGAGAGAGACAGAGAGACAGAAAGCGAGAAATCATCCTCCATGGGAGATGCTCACTTTGTGATCCCTTCTCCTCCATTCTCCTCTCGGGATTTGGGCACACACACACCCAGCGTGTCTCAGGCTGCCAGGCCCAGGACTCGAACCACTGTTGGCCATGTGGGAGTCCAGCGACATAATCATTATGCCATCTGCTAATCCCACACCTGTTATTTTTAAATTAAAAACATTCAAGGGCCAGCCAGTGGATCACATATGGCTGGCTGTGCAATTCGAGTCCCGACAGGCACCTTGAGAAGCGTACCAGCATGTGAGCGTGAGTGCCCAGGTCCCAAAGGACAGAGGTGGGGACGGGATTGCAGGGGACCACACCATGGGAGGGGTCACTTCTCACCTTCTCTCTCTCTCTCTCTTTCTGTCTCGGACATGCGAACATGCTCTCTGGCAAATTAAAGTACAAAAAACCATTCAGGCCAGCTGGTGACAATAGTTAAAATAAATGGGGCTGAGGCCAGCAGGTGGTGTGGAGGTTACGGCAGCTCGGTCCCACACGGCTGACTCTGCAGTTCAAGCCCAGACCCAGCAACTTGAAAATCATGCAAGGCACGTGTGCATGCGTGCCTAGGATTGCCGGAGAGTGGGGAGGAGGCGCTGTGGCGTGGCCATCCCCCTGCGGGCGATCTCCCCCCCACCCTGTATCCTGTGTTTCTGTGGGGCACACATACCTATATTAGAAAACCGAAAACAACACCCAAAAACCCAGGGCTGTGACAGCGTCAAGCAGAAAGGTCTCCAGACGCGTGGTCTGGGCCCCGCCCTTCCCGTTTCCCCTGGACCAGCTGTGAGACGTGGGTCAGTGGACCTGTTTCAGGCACGCTGCTCCTCGCCGTTGCCCCAGGGGCCAGAGCAGCACGGGCACCCAGTGGACACGGGGAGTGCAGTCGTGGCCAGTCACCTGCCTAGGGAGGGGTGGGTGGAGCAAAGCAAGCTGCCAAACACCGTGACCGGCCAGCAGGTGGCATGGTGGTCAGGTGCCGGGTCCCACCGAGCCCTGGATTAGGGGCTGGAAGTGGGCAGGCTGAAGCCCTGAACAGGGAGGCGGGATTCCTGTGCGGCCATGTTGTCTTGGGGCGATCTCTCGCTCCCTCCCTCTCTCCAGTGAGTGCGCCCAGTAGCAAACTGACCTGTGACAGCGTCTCCGTGTCTCCGTGCGTGGTGCGTGGCTGCATGTTCTGACTCCCCGGCCATGCAGAGGGCAGAATGGCGTGTCTGCAGAGGCCTGGTGAGGACGTGTCCCAGACCTGCCAGTGCTTCCTAGGGAGCAGGCGACGTGCCTCCTGCTGGTGCACTTCATGGCCCTGCCGAGCTCGCGGCGGTGGGTCTCGTGCCACGTGTTCCTCATCCCGTCGCCAAGTTCGGCAACATCAGCAATGTCCGTTTTGACAAAAAAAGTTTTTTGAGAGGTTTTTGCTACAGGGCTGGTGCGCTCACCAGAAAAAGAGAGCGAGAGGGAGAGAGAAATCAGCCCCAGGGGGGATGGCCACACCGCAGTCCCTTCTCCTCCATTCTCCTCTCGGGATCTTGGGCACGCACGCACACGCACCCGGCATGAGTTTAAGCCACTGGGTCAGGGACTCGAACTGAGGTTGACTACATGGGAGTCCAGCGCCATAGCCATTACGCCATCTGCTGGTCCCTGACGGAATTCTGATGGCTGCGTTCTGCACAGAGCCTGGAGCAGGATGAGAACCCTGCGGAGGCTGCGGCTGACCCTGAGCTCTGAGGCAGGACCGCCTTCATGTGCATCCTCCCCTAGCGCTGCTCAGAGGCAGCTCACAGCTGTCTCTCCACGGTGCGGTGGAACTGTTCCTCCTGTTTTCTTCCTTGAAAGAGGCTGTTTGGGGACCAGCAGATAGAGTGATTGTTATGTCACTGGACTCCTACCAAGTCAACCACAGTTCGAGTCCTGGACCCAGCAGCTTAAAACTCAGGCCAGGCGTGTGTGCATGTGTGCCCCAACCCCCTAGAGGAGAATGGAGGAGAAGAGATTGTGGCGTGGCCATCCCCGGGAGGGGGCTGATTTCTCAGGGCTGAGGCTGTAGACCCGTTTAAGCTTTGGAATACTCTCGCCGTTGTAGGGGTCCTGGTCTAGTCTACTTCCTTCCCTGCTAATCCCAAGTCGGGTTCCTTGCTCCGACCAGACACGGGCCTCATCTGCCGTGCGAAAGCAGTTGTCCCCACGTCTAACTGCCTGCTCTTCCTTCCAGAGAGACCTGGGGTGAAGCAGAAGGCGGGAAGGAAGGAGTGCGTCATCCCACAGATTGTCATCACCCGGGCCTCCAACGAGACTCTGATCAGCTACGACTCCACTGGGAGCGAGGAGCAGAGAACCATCCGGGAGCAGGCTGAGTGGGGCCCCTACTACCGACACAGGGCCCCCAGCACCGTGGACGCCTACCACCCGCACGGCGTGGAGTGAACGCAAGCCCTGCGCGGCTGTCCTCACTCGCTGTGACCTGCTCTGCGTCTCAGGACAGTGGCACAGCACCGCCCCGTGGGAGCTGCGTGTGCTCCACACCTGCGGTCCTTCCCATGGCACCTTGGTCTCACCTTCCCCAGAGCCGCCGGCAGCTTGGTGGAGAGAGCGAAGGACTCACTCCGAGAGTGAACTTTGTGGGAACAGACGAATAAATGAGTGTGTCCCCGTTGGGATGGCTGCCGTGCAGGTGAGCAGACACAGGGCGCTGTACACGCCAATGCCCGGTCCATTTCCTGAGGGCTACAGTAAGTCCTTGGGAGTGGAGCGAACGCAGTCCCTGTCCCCACACCTGGGGACAGGCCCAGCTCTGAGGCGGCGCTGTGCTGCTCACGAGCAGGCCCGGCCTTGGGCTGACTGGTCTCACCCAGGCTGTGCCCGAGGAGGGCGCGGGCTGGGGACGGGTGCATGGCGGTGGACCTGGAAGTGGCCAGCTCATCACCGTCCGGTCCTCCTGGCCCCCCACAGTGAAGGCTGCCTCCTCCAGCAGCCCCCAGGGCAGGCGGCACCTGGCCGGGCTCACACCTTTGGCTTTGGTGCAGTGGTCGTGCTGGCTTCATGGGCTTCTAGACTGGACTGCAGTCCTCACACCGTCCGAGATGTGCTGCTCCCGGGGCTAGCAGAGCCAGGGATGCGGCCTTGCCAGGGCAGGGGCCTGCTGCCTGTCCGAGTATAGTTTCAGGGCCAGCAGTGGCGTGGCAGCTACGTAGCTGGACTCCCACTTGGCTGACCATGGTTCGAGTCCTGGACTCGGTGGCTTGAAACGCACACTGGGCGTGTGTGCGTGGAGGAGAATGGAGAAGGGACTGTGGGTGGCCATCTCCCCATGGGTGATTTCTCTTTCCCCCTCATTGTCTCTCTCTCCAGCTAGCACACACACCCTACGGCAAAAACCTCTTAAAAAAAAAAAAAACATAGTTTCTGATCCATAGGAGGGGTCTTCAAAAAGTTCATAGAAAATGCATATGATGAAATAACCATGCACAGACTTTAAAACTTCTTGGTACCAAAATAAACGCACACTTTAATCCCGCTCTCGGATTTTTGAAGACCCCTCTACATACATGGTGGTGGTCTGGCTGTGGCTGCCCAGCCAGGTCAACCGGGCACCAGCATGGAGTCTGATGGGGGCCTCCCCGACCCGCCCCGGCTTCATAACCCTCGGACACCGGCTCTCCTTCCTCCACCTTCCAGGGCTGGCGCCCCCGGGCCCACGCCGCCCGCTATGCTCCGGGCCTGCTGCAGCGGCGCGTCCCCGGTCGCGAACCCGCCGCGGAAGGCGAAGGCGCTCCCAGAGGCTGAGCCCTGGGCGGTGCAGGACCTGACGCGGGGCCCAGAGGACCCCTCAGCTGGGGGAGCTGGCCCCGACCCGGGAGCGCACCGCCCGGGGCTCGGGGACCGTGCGGAACGCGCGCGGAGAGCGGGTCCCTT